TAGGGAATATTCTTTTTCTAACACAGTAATTGGCTGGGTTGACCTCGGTCACACATTTTGAGTATCCCCTAAGATTCGCAGGGCTTTTTGTTTTTAGGTCCATTTGTTTAACTAGTTTTATCTTTAAACCCAAGAAATATTAAGGGTATCTTTAAAGAAAAGTTGGGTTTAAAGATACAACTAATAATACTTGTGTTTAAAGATAAAGCTAGGTAAACAAATATATCTAAAAACAAAAAGCCCTTTTTAAAACTATGGCCAGCTTTTAGTAGGGTTTTTAGATGCGAGACCCTCACATCTCTAATAATTGCATGCTGGTACCTTACGTATTAAAAATTACACATTAGCCCAAAGTTGAGATTCACATAGGTTTGAGACATTATGGAGAGGGGTAGTTTGATAATTGTCGATGGTGCATTAGGAGTTAATCCAATCTTGGTTAGGTTTTATAACTGAATAGACAAACAGATAGGTCATTTTGCAAGACCCTATAAGATTTAGATGGACTAATATGCAAATTTCAAGAGTTAGGACAATAATGCAAAATTATTGAAGATTTAGGGGACTAATATATAAAAAAAATCATTTTTGGCAACTTATTATGTGACTGTGCGATTAAGGCCGTACGTGTTTGACTAAACTTATTTTGTAGAATCTTATAAATAACCTTCCTTTATAATAGGGTAAAATAATCTTTTGGCAAACACTAACCATAAGGTAAACCTTTTTTATAAGAATTAAAAATAAGTCGTAAAACCCAAACTTATTGTTATCTATTTAGAAGGAAAATTAAGTAAATAAGTAAATATTGAGCAAACATTGATCTTGAATTGTTATAAGGAAAAACAAGCTTGTAACTTAAAAAAGTGCGTTTGAGCCCGAACATGCAGCTAAAAATGAAAATTGCAATCATTTGAGGTGGCAATTTGAAAATATGAAAGAGTTAAGGTGCTAACATCTTTAAAAACATTATTTTCAGTAGGGCTGAGCATGGTTCGGTCCAAACCGAAAAAACCGACCCGACCCGATGCGAAAAAATCGGTTTCATAAGTAGGGCGGTTCAGGTCGGTTTGAAATCTTTTCAACCCGAACCGACCGAATATAGTGCAATACTACCCATTCTGATCTCAAGCCTACCCAACCCGTCTCCAAAGAGTCAAAGACTCAAATCCTAAACTCATTTTCTGAATCATTATGGGTTGAAAACAATATCATTATATTAATGTTTAATGCTTCATAATCTCCTACTTTGTTGATATCTTTTTTTTCTTTAACACAGTTTGTTATTTGATAAGAAGTTTGATGAAGTTAGAACCGAACAAACCGAACCGAACCGCACCGAACCGACTTGCAACAGTTCGGTTCGGTTTTGAATTATAGGCGATACGGTTCGGTTGTTCAAATTTTGGTAAAAACCGAACCGAACCGACCGTTGCACATCCCTAATTTTCAGTTAAGAAGTGAGTTCGACTTGTCCAACCTGATTATGACCGTGTTTTTGTCGAATATAAGCGATTAATTAATATTAAAATCCTAAATCCTGTTTTATGATCGATCAATTAAAACATTATATTCTTATTATAATTAATTGTATAACTTAGCTTTCTCTTTTAAAAACAAAGTTGGATATTTTTCTTAGTGGCATCAAATCAAATTGACTGGGTCAAGTTATTTTACTCTTAAAAGGGGTTATTGGTTGGGACAATTTGGGGCCAAGTGGAAAAATTGTTCCAATGGAACAATTTTACCCCTTTGGGATATTTTGAGTAGGGTAAAGTGGAATAATGAGATAATTTGAGCCTTTGATTTAACAATTCATGTGTGATAATTAATGATGTGGCACCTTATTAAAATATAATTTTATCTATTAATTACTTCTAAATTAACTTATCCAATAGGTTTAGTATATTATTATAATATAAATATTACTTTACTTTATATTAAAATATAATATATTGTTCTATACTTATAAATTACTATTATTAATTATTACATTGTATTATATTATATTATATTAGCATGCTATACTATATATAATAATTAATATAATATAATATTAATATATTTAATATAATATTTAATATAATACATTATTTTATTTATACAAAAATATAATATGTTATACAATAATTACTAATTAACATTATATTAGTATGCTACATTATATAATAATTGATATAATATATGAATAATATATATAATATAATACTTTAATAATATATTATTTAATATATGTTATTATATAATATTATTAATATATGTTATTACAATATTATATAATATTATAATAAATACGTTATACTATAATTACTATTATATAATATTATTAATATATGTTATATTTTATATATCATGTCATATATTTATAATATAATTAGCATGTATTAGTTAAGTAATACAAAAGTATTTTAAAATTATCCCAATTGCCTTCAAAGTGGAACTACATTGTTCCAATATGGAGGATGGGGTAAATTTTTACTATTGAGATAAAATTTTTATATATGAGTGGGGTAATTTTATCCCAAGTGGTGTAATTACCTCACTAGTGTTCCAAAAAACTAATAACACAAAAATATATTATCCTTGTTCCATTGTCCCAATGAATAACACTGTGAAATAGAATCCCTAAAATTATCCCATTATCCCCTAAAATATCCTAACCAATAACCCCCCTTTAGGTGGGGTTATTCATTGGGGTAATTTTGGAGATAATGGGTAAAATTGTTCCAATGAGGTAATTTTACCCAATGGGATAATTTGAGCGAGATAAAGTGAGGTAAAATGGGATAATGAGATAATTTGAGTGGGACAATTTGTATGATATCTTTTTATAATATTATATTTATAGCTCAATTAAGTTCAAGTTTAACTTGATATAACATCACATGATTATAAATAATAGTATTACATATTTATAACTCAATTGTATTACATATTTTAATTCTATGATCCCAAAATATTATAAATAATAGTATTACATATTTATAACTCAATTGTATTACATATTTTAATTCTATGATCCCAAAATCTTCTGCAAAAATGTTCAAACATATTATAACTCAATTGTATTACATATTTTAATTCTATGATCCCAAAATCTTCTGCAAAAATGTTCAAACATGCAACCCTAAAATCTCCTGCAAAAATGTCGTAGCACAAACCAACTCCTCCTCACTACATTCCAACATTACTCAATTAAAATTGGTAAATTTTAGGTAGCAAAGTGTCAATAAAATTACTTGACGGATGTTAAAATTTTGCATCGACAAAGAGGGCAATCAACCGAAATACACCAACCAGTGATCAACACAAGCTCCATGAAACCCATGACTAGCTACATTTCATTCAACACTCTCGCTTCCTCATCAACAGCCGAAGGATTCTCAGTAAATAGAAGAAAACGTCGTCGGATTTTGCTCCTCAGCTTCCTGCTCAATCTCTCTTTGTTGATGCAGGGCTTTTTTCATAATCTTAAGAGCTCAGATTCGACGAAATCAACTGGAAAAACAAAAAAAAGTAAAGCTTTAACTAACAATTTAGATCAAAGGGATGATGATCAAAGGGATTAAGAGCTCAGATTCGATTTACCTTCTCACCTACTTGGTGAAGCTTTGGATCGCGAGAGCGCTTTTTGGAGACAGATTCATCGTCGGCGGCGGATGGCCTGCTTGAGGCAGAGGGCGACGAGGGAGGAGAAGAGGAAGGAGGAGAAGGAGAAGACGTGGAGGGAGACCATGGACTCGGCGGTGGAGGGGAGGCGGGGGAGGGGGGGGNGCGGAGGGGTCAGAGGGGTTCCAGTTTTAGGCTTCTGGTGATGCCGTCGAGGGTGAAAAGGGAGTTCACGTTGGTGATGCCGTCGAGAGAGGTGATGCGAGACGGAAGTGGGGAATTTGTCCCCCTCTCTTGTTCCAGGTAGCAATATGGGGTAAAATTTTAGGGGTGGGGCTGAGGGGGGTTATATAGCTGGGGTAATTTTGGGGGAAGTGGAGAATTTGTCCCCAAATTATCCCCACAAACCAATAACACCAATCAAGTGAATCCAGCCCCAATTACCCCAATGAATAACACTAAAAAGTGATGTTCCAACTTTTATCCCATTATCCCCAAAATTACCCCAATGAATTAATCTATCTCTATGTGAGAGCGATAGTTGAGACTACAATCACCCCGGGGAAAAGAAGTCACAGCAGGCATTCTGTTCGTAAATTGTATGTTAAGGGGCTGTTTGGTTCGTTTCCTAGATATAGGGAAATGCATTTCTATGTATAAAAACATAAGTTTTAAGTTTTCCAAACTTTTCTAAGAAATAGATTGTTTCGCTTTGGTTCGCACAAAAAAATTATGGGAAACCAATGTATTTATTTTTCTTGTGTTTGGTTCGCATGGAAAAAAAGAGAAAACTTTTCTTTATATGGCAAAAAGCCGACGTGGCTGCAGTTTTCGTCGATTTCACGAGGTTGAGGAAGGAATTGGGGGAGAGAAAAAAAAATCTGATGTGACGGCGATTTTCACCGAGTTTCCCTTCTTAAACACTAGCGAACCAAAGATGAGAAAAAAAATCGACGGAAAGCTTATATCCTACGTGGCCACGAAAAATCTGATATGAAGGCGGTGTAAAACTTTTCCACCGAGTTAAAAAACGAACCAAACAGCCCCTAACAAACTTTCCCCGCCTAATTTATTCGAAGAAAAAGGAAATATGAGCTGCCTTCTCATTTTCCAGTGAAAAGTGGGAAAAAATATCAGTCCGAAAGCAGCACGATTAAGATGTCTTACCTAAAACAATATTCATCACAAAGATTACAAGAATGTGTAGCTGGCTTCAAAGATTACAGAAGTAAAGCTGGCTTCTGCATCAGACGCAAGAGAAGCTTTTGATTAATTGTACTTTTTCCTTAAAAGCAGTAAAATTGACAAAAACACATCCAAATTGACAAATACGAAAACATGGCTGGTGTCTGTATCAGATGAAAGAGATACTTTTTTACCTAACAGGAGGCAAGATGCAGAACCTTGTGAAGTACGAGACAATGCTAGATTTAAGCATTCAAAATGTCAGGCATCTTCAACTTGATTTTTTTTAGAAAAAAATGAAGGTAATTCTTCATAAGTCTCTTTCATGTGTTGTACAAAGGGGATAATATGTTAACCACAATGGAGTATACATCATTTAGAAAAAAATTACCGCAATAAAAAATTGAAACAACTAGATTATTATTATAGAACCATACCAGTGAAAAAACCAGGAGATATCAACTTGATCACCAGTAATCCCTGCAAGAGCAAGAGCCTTCTTTAAAATGGTGAAACCTGATTGCATCTCTAACCACCAACTCCCTCCCCTCAACAAGCGATATCATCTTGATCACACCATGACAATCGCTACATATCCTCAGATTCTTCATAACATGAATCGGCATCCATGTAGGCAAACTAATAAGACCAAAAGCCACTGCCAACTTCTCACTATGAAAACTTTGAGATCCAAAACTACTATCTTCCCTCACATAACCCAACCTTTCAATCTTCGCAATAACTCTCTCCAAAACTTTGAGGACTTCATTAATCTGTGGGTGATTCACATCATCAGCGGTGAAAACATGAATAGTGTTATTAACCTCAATCCAACTGCATCCTGGATTCTTCCTAATTCCTCTCTCTTTCATAAGTTTCCTCACTCCTGCAGAGCTATCCAACTCTCCTCCATCTGCATATATCTTTGCTAATAAAACGTAACTCCCGGGATCCTTTGAATCCAATTCAAATAAATTCTTCGCAGCATACTCAGCAAGCTTTGTATTGCCATGGATTTTGCAAGCTCCAAGAAGAGCTCCCCATACTTCGGCACTTGGTTTAATAGGCATGCAATCAATCATGTCTTTTGCCTCTTCAAGAAGACCAGCTCGGCCTAAAAGGTCAACCATGCAAGAAAAATGCTCCATGCCAGGGGAAATTTTAGTATTATTTGTCATTGAATTGAAGTAATATTTCCCTTTTTGAACAAGCCCAGAATGACTGCAACCTGCAAGCACAGCAACATAGCTTATATAATCAGGCCTTATGTTATTTAACAGCATTTTCTCAAAGATTTCAACTGCCTCCTGCCCTTGACCATGTTGTGCATAAGCAGTGATCATTGAATTCCAGGAAACCAGATCTTTCTCCTGAATTGAATCGAAAACTTTTCGAGCCTCTCTGATCCTTCCGCATTTCGACAACACAGTTATAATCCCATTAGCCACAGAGGTATCATACTCAAACCCAGATTTTAGAGTATGAGCAATGACTTGATTACCAAGCCTAAGTGCCCCGATATTGGCACAAGCACTAATAAGCGTCACAAATGTAACCCAATCAGGCTTTACTTTATCCTCTCTCAGCATCGTAACAAACATCTTGAGCCCTTCCTCCTCCTCTTCATGTTGTATATAAGTGGCCAATATAGCATTCCAAGACACCACATTCCTCGTAGTCATAGCATCAAAGAATTCTCGAGCCTTAGTAACATTACCCAACTGAGAATAAGCAGTAATCATGCTCGTTGATGATATTATATCTCTAGAAGGCATTGAGTGGAAAATTGACTCGGCACTCTCAATGCTTCCGCATTTTGAATACACTGACAGCAGAGCATTGGACACTGGAACAGATGAATTGTATCCTGCCTTCAGGGCAAGACAATGTAACTGACTCCCTAAACTAACATCCATTCTATTGTAACAAGCACTTAAAACTGTTGCTAGGGTGAACTGATCAAATGCTACTGGTACTCTTCTCATGTGATTAAACAACTGCAGAGCTTCTTCAACATGCCCATGTTGTGAGAATCCGCCAAGAAGTGAAGTCCACGAGACAGTATTATGAGTTGGTAATATTTCAAAAGTTCTCTTTGCAGCATCTAACTTGCCACATTTTGCATACATATCCACAAGTGCACTACCAACATAGACATCATAACCCCATTGATGTTTGATAATATGTGCATGGAGATGTCGTCCCCAATCCAAATCTTGAATGCTCGTGACCGCACTAAGAACACTGGAGTAAGTGGTGGAAGTAAGCTCATATCCTTTGGTGAACATATCTATGATCATCAAAAGAGCTTGTCTAACATGTCCATGCTGAGATAGTACTGAAATCATAGTATTCCACGAGATTGTATCTCTTTCGGGCATTCTCCGAAACAACTCTAAAGCACTATTGACACCATATAAGTTCGCATACCCTAGTATCATACTATTCTGAATGAAAAGATTCGGACTTTCCGACCGTTCAAAAACTTTCACCGCCAAATCTACAAGCCCGCACTTAATATACATATCAATAAGGGAAGAATCAACTCGTGTCTCATCTTCAAGATTCAATTTTTTCAACAACCCGTGAATCTGCATCCCCAATTGAGCACACCGAAGCCCCCCACAAGCCTTCATCGCACAAGTCAAGCTAAACAAATCAGGATCAAAGCCCGAATCCCTAATCATTTCAAAAAACACTCCAATGGATTCCTCCAACATCCCATTCTTAAAATAACCCGACATGAGCGCATTCCACGAAGCACAATCCCTTACAGGCATTTCACCAAACACCTTGCGGGCATCACCGGGCAACCCACAATTCAAAAGCCCGGTGATCATGACATTGAATGTGATCACATTGGGGGACGAAATCTCTCGAAAGAGATTGCGGGCATCTTCGGTAGAGGTGCAAGTGAAGTATGCATTGAGGAGGTGGTTCTGGAGGAAGAGGGAGGAGTGGAGGCCAGTGGAGATCAAGTGGGCATGGATGTTTTGGGTTTTGGAGATTGATTTGAGATTTGCAGATGATTTTATGAGGTCGGAGAGGGTTTGGGTGAGGTTTGTGATGGAGGTTTGGGAGAGAGAAAGGGAGGACTGGGTTTGCTTGAGATGTTGGAGAGAGACGGAGGTTGATTTGAGGCGATAATGCCATGAGAGGAGCTTGATCATCCAAGGGGTTGGGTTTTTTGTGAAATGAGAGGAAAATATAAGTTCATGAGAGTAGAAAGAGAAGGGTTTTTGTGCTGAGGTTTTTGAAAAAGGATTTCAGAAAGGAGATGGTTTTGTTACGGCTTGCCGTTTGTTGGATGTTTTTTTGTCCTATTCGACCCCCGACCTTGGTTGATTCTGCTAGCAGCTTTGTGCACGCAAAGGCACGTGATGGATGCTAACACTTATTTTTCAAAATTTTATAGTAAAAAAAAAAAGAAATACTATAACTTAGATTTTTAAAATAAAATAAATTATATATGTTTTTCTAATTATAAATGTTAATGTTAAAATTCTTTAATTTTATACTTCTAAGTCCATTATTTATGCTTTTGGAAGTAGTAGTTAAACAGATACTTTGTTACTTGTTGTCCATCATTATGTTCCATCCTAAAAACTATATGATGACTAGGAAAAATCTTCAGTCTGAAGTTGATTGATATACAAAATTTCTCCATGAAATTTTGAGATTCCTAGAGTATTATTTTAGGCTATTTTTAATATTTGTTTGAAAGGTTTGTATCTTTATGTAGAATGTTTACTTTCGAAGTTTTTTAATTGTGTTTATTTGTTAAAGAGGAAATGTGTTTAAGTATTTTGATTTTTTTTTTTTTGGTTGTTGTTGATATATAAAGTCTTTTATATTAATTGTGAATGAGAGAGATTGTGTACAATTGTGAATGGTTTAATATTCATGTGAAATAATAAAATTGCCCTCTTATCTTTAGTGAATTTGAAGAACATTCCTCATTTCTTTTAGAATTTCTTCTACCCACAAAGTTTTCAATATAGTAGTATAGAAGTATAGATACTAGAGCCCTAAATCCAAGGGGTCTAGCCTAGTTGGTAAGCTGACTATGAGTAGTACTCTAATAAAGTCTTAGGTTCGACTCTTCTAGGATGCAACCACAAAGATTTGATTTCCTAGAATATCTGAGTAGTACTCTAAAGTCTTAGGTTCGACTCTTCTAAAAAGTAACCACAAAAATTTAATTTCCTAGAATATCTAAGGTCATGCGTTGGCGGATATCCTCTAGCCAAGCTGGGGTTTAGGGGGTTTAATGGTCATTATTTGAAGGATCGTGGGGAAGTTCACCCGAGGTTTTAGGGATTTGATAGTCATGATTCAAAGGACCGTGGATAAGTTTCATCGCCAACCCAGAAAAAAACATATATTAGAGCCCCAAATCTTAATATTTTGAAGACGCAAAAAATCATATTTCTTTTAAATAAGATGCTCAAATTTGTTTATTTTAGTCGCTTTATAAAAGACGGTTAATATTTGATCGTCATTTTGTTTACTTTGGGCGCAGCCCTGATTTAAATGACGGCCTACGGAGCTGATCCATCTTAGATTTCTTCTTAGTCCAGGCTACAAATGGAAGGCCGTGATAGTAACATGAGGCCCAAAAAAAATTAGCCAATAAATAATCTTCCGAAGGACTGATTTCTGAACATATTGAAATGTAAATATAAAAGTGACTATAATTATGAGGAGGGGGTTTTCCTCCTTGACACCTATGTGGCATAATCCTCATCAACTCACACACTCTCTTCTACTTTATGAGGATGATTGGGATTGTGCCACATGGACGTCAAGGAGGAAAATCCCCTCATTGACAATGATATGTAGATCAAGTTTAACAGAGCGGATCATCCACAATATAGTTCAATCATGTGATTTTAGGCCACGTCCTTAGATCAATATCTAAGGAGTCACCTTAGGAACACTTTTCCTATGCATCTCATGTAACATGTAGCCTAAAATAAAGCCACCTTTTGCATATTTCATGATTAAATTTATTAAATACAACCAAGAGGTCCAAAACAAGACCACTTCGTGCAAAAGACATCCATAACTATAAGCAAGCAACGTTATATTTTGGCCGTAAATTATGTAAAATACACACGAACAAGAAAAGTCCCTTTAGATCAAATTTTAGTCTGGCAAGAGCTCATTTATACAATAATACGAAAGTTATCAACTTCAGCCTCAACATGATCACCACCTCGCCCAAAATTAGCGCACGAGTCTATGATTTGATTGAGACTCTGCCTTCTCATCGTCTTGGATACCACCACCGCATACTGAGTATGATTCTCATGCATATTTATAGAATTTTCTTCGATAGTTAATTTTATATTACTCCAATCAATATCATGGCTTAGCTTTGGACATATTTTAGTCGATCATAAGTCCGGTATAGTATTTAAGATCGTGAACTAGTTTAATCTGTGTTTTCTTATGAAGTTGCCAATAAGGGTATGATGAGTTCATAGTTGGTGAAGATTATAATTTTGAAAAATATAAATGTTATTTTAATTTGCATTAATTATGAACAATTTATAACTGTGGTTTTTGGATACTAGAATCAAACAAACAAAATCAAAAGCAATCCAGCAAAAGACTTTTTTTTTTTTGATCTGAGGTCCCACATTCAATCAGTATTTGTCACTTGTCAGCTAGTCATTATAGCAAAATCAAAAATTTTAAATTGGAACTAAATCCAGGTGGTTAATTGTAACGCAAAAATTCCTTTAAAATATATTAATGAATAAATAAAGATGATTTCTGTAAAATGACGCATTTATTTTAAATGTCGTTTCTCGGCAAAATTCTAAAATAAAATAGGAGAAGATGCATCTGAGTTCGGCTTAGAGCAACTCCAATGGCAGTTTTGCAGCCCCATGGAGCTCCAACGGTGTTCCAAATCCGGCTGCAAAATGCAGCCGGATGGAAGGAGCTAGGCTGCAAATATGCAGCCTCTTCTCCAAATTTATAGTTTTTTTTGATAGAAAAACAAGGGTTGTACCCTGTTCAATTAAAGATAAAAGTATTTGTTACAAAAGTTTGGATACGAAATGTATCCTGATGTTAGATAACAGTAAGCTTAGTTCCATATGACTAGGGATGTATGCCCTTCTTCTTTAAGGGATCCATGAAGGTGAAGAGAGGACATTGCCGTCATTCACCGTTGACATCTCCAAATTTACAGTTGAGCTGCAAATTTATTTAAATTCCCACTTTGCCCCTTTACTTATTCTATAAACAATTAAGAATTACCTCCATATCCTTTTTAATTAGTAACTAGTAATTTAAAATTAACATAAGTTTATTTCTACTAATTATTTTTAAATAAAAGTTTTACAGTTAGAAATGTCTTGTCGATACCTTCAAAATGAGACTAATATTGAATAATATTAAGGGAAAATTGCTTGGAGAAACCAAATAAAGTTGGGCTATGCATCCCCACCCCAAGTCTAAAAACCATAACAAAAAAGCCCTAAAAATGAAAAAGAAGTGCAACCAAACCCCAAAAACCACTGCCCAAGAAAACATTCCCAAATTACCCTTCTTCTTCCCCATTTAAAACCCAATCCCTTTCTCCTCCTAATCTGGCCCAAGGTCTCCCCCCACCGCCTCTCCCTCCCCTACCACCGCCGACGTGCCCAAGGTCCTCCTGATCTGGCCCAAGGTCCTCCTGATCTGGTCTTCTCACCATTTGGGTTTGAGCCCCCTTTGTTTTGGCTTTGGGGAATCGTCTGAAGCAAGCAACCGCCCCCCTTCTTCTTCATCCCTTGACGGGATCCTCGACCCCTCATATAAAATCAAAAATTTGCCCCAAAATTCTTAAATTTCACTGAAATGCATCGAGATATCTGAGGATGTTGAATGAATTCGTGGCTCGAGTTCTCGCGTTCATGCTTCTTCTGCCAGTTTTGTTGTCAAATTTAATGCTTTATTTTGGCTTTGGGGGGTTAAATTAGGGTTTATTTGGATGCAGATTGATGCTTGGCTACGCGTATCAAACATTTGAATGCTTTAAAATGATGGAGGTGGGGGCAAGCTAGCATAGGGCAACTCTATTTCTGGTGCCAATACTGGTGAGATCATTTTCTTGAATTTAGTTTTTTGAAATTGAAATTTTAGAATAAAAAATATAAGGTTATTGATGATTTGAGAAGGAATTGGGGTTTCTTGAATTCTTTTAGCAGGGTGATTGTTGCAATCTTGACGGTCTTTGAAAGATTCTTCGATGTGTTCATTTCATGGTAACCTCACAATCTATTTTTTTTATAAAAGTTTGGAATTGGATTATTGAGTCTTGATTATTAACTATATCGTCTAATTTTTATCAATAATTTGAAGGTTGCCATTGTCTGATGAGACCAAGCTAGCATTCTTCATCTACTTGTGGCACCCAAAAACAAAGGTAATATAATTACAAAAATCTCATTATGAATTCCACTTTGTATTTTAGGGTGGAATTGGAAAGTCGGTGTTTCAATACATGTATTAAAGTCGATGATTGTACTGATCGGCACGTGTTTTAATATTTTTAGGTGTTAGAAGTTAGTCAGCAAGCCTTGATGGGAGATAAACTGATCGAATGAGGAGGAGGAGGAGGAGGTTGAGAAGGCAATGATGTAGATGTCTGGGCTTATATTGGAGAGGAGGAGGAGGTTGAGAAGCCTTGATGGGATCTCTTTTAATGTGGTTATTAGTATAGTTGGTTTTGTGCAAATTTGTCGTTTGAACGGTTAACAGAGTTCATCGGTTTGTAAAATTTGATAAGGAAATGGAAGTCAACTTGTTTAATTTTGCTATAAAATTTTGTTTGTCCTTCATGTGACAAGCCACCTTAGAATTACTCCAGATGTCCTTTTATGGAAGTCAACTTGCTTATGTGACATATGATAGTTTCATGTGACATGACGGTTTCATGTCACATATGTTATTTTTATGAGACATTTGTTGTTCATACGGGATATTTTGGTGTTGTATGTGATATTTGGATGTTGTATGTGATATTTGAGTGTTGTTTGTGACATTTGTTGTTTATACGTGATATTTAGGTATTGTATGTGATGTTTGGGTGTTGTATGTGATATTTGGGTATTGTATGTGATATTTGTGTGTTGCTTGTGACATTTGCTGTTTATACGTTAAATTTGGGTGTTGTATGTGATATTTGGCTGTAATTTGTTGATAGTGAATGTGCTTATTTGTCACATGGTTGTAATTTGTTTATACGTGACACTTGACTATAATTTATTGTATGTGATATTTAGATCTATGTAGGCTGTCTAAAAATCACAATAGATAGTTGATCCCCCATCAAACACCGATGATGGAAGTTACAACTTGACGACTTCCAGAAGGCTACAATTTGAGGACTTTCACGTAGAAGGTTACAATCTGACGACCTTCACAACAACTAATGAAAGCCCCAATTCAACAGCATTCACAATCAACATCGGGAGTTACAATCTGACGACTCTCATATTTTCAAGGAGCCAAGACGAAGATTACAAGAGGACGATCTGTGCAAAGCTCTAGCAAAAGAGACTACAAATTGACGGTCTCTTCATATTAGAATGCAGATATCTCTCAAACCGTAAGGAATTTGGCGAAACGGAGGAAGCGAACCGAAGCCTTTGGCTCGGTTCGGATGGTCCCGTCTCGTCGAGATAGCCGATTTTCATATATAATTCGTCCAATTCCGACGTACGGTTTGAAAGTTATGACCTGTTATTCGTAACAAGTTATGTTCTGAAGTCCGCCTGCAAGACTGGACTTCATCAGAACATTGGACTTAGCCTGAAGCCCGCCAAGCCCGCCTAAGGTTCGCCTCTGCATCACAGAGCCAAAATGCACAGGCCAAACTCTGCGTTTTCAACCCAAAACGCAGAGTTAATCTCTAAAATAGCACAAACTGTGCGTTTTCAGCCTAGAACAGGCTTAACTCTGCGTTTTCAACATCAAAACGCAGAGTTAATCGCTAAAATAGCACAACTGTGCGTTTTCAGCCGTTAACAGGCTCAACTCTGCGTTTTCAACATCAAAACGCAGAGTTAATCTCTAAAACAGCACAACTGTGCGTTTATCGGCTCAACTGTGCGTTTTCCGTGCGTTTTCAGTCTAGAAACGCAGAGTTAATCTCTAAAACAGCACAACTGTGCGTTTTCAGCCTCAAACAGGCTTAACTCTGCGTTTTCAACATCAAAACGCAGAGTTAATCTCCAAAACAGCACGAACTGTGCGTTTTCAGCCTTTAAACAGGCCCAACTCTGCGTTTTTAGCCTAAAACGCAGAGTTCATCTCTAAAACGCATGCGGCCTGTGCGTTTCGACTCCCAGCGAGCGCCCAACTCTGCGTCTCATCTTTAAGACGCAGAGTTAAGGTCCGAACGCAAGCGGCCCTTGCGTTTTCAACTCCCAACAAGCGCCCAACTCTGCGTCTCATCAATAAGACGCAGAGTTAAGGCCCAGAACGCTATTTTCAGCGTTTTGACTCGTTCAAAGCACTAACAGAACGGTTTCAAAACCGTTTTCCCCACTATTTCGGGAGCTGTTTAAGAGGGGGTGGTTACACCCCACTCAGCCCATGGAGGAGCAAATTAAGGGGGCAGTTACCACCCGTAACCCCCTATAAATATCAGAAACTCAATTTGAGAGGAATACAAGTCAATTTTTTTTTCATTGTCTTTTTACTGCAAATTTCCTACAAACAAAAGATGGCGACTCTGCTGGGGATGAGCTTCTCTGACGAAGAAGTGGTGGTGCAATCCGACGTTCATCTCACTGGAATGACCGTTGAAACTCTGATCATCGAGTTCGATCAAGCCAAGTTTGAGAAGGCCCTCTCCTCCGGATCCTTTAGCCCCAAGGCTATGCGCAAGATCCACAAAGTTTCCGAGGAGACTAAAGCTCCAGTTGTAGCCAACTCATCTAAAGACTATCTCCCATGGGGGTTGCACTGTTCATACAGTCCCCTCCCTAAAGGAGAAGTCTCGACTTTGGCACGACTCCAGAGCCGATCCTCCAATCAACGCGAACTCCGCGTTTATGAGCCTCAACATGAGCTCTGCAAAAGCCCAGCTAAACGCAACTCTCAGGAGTGCGTTTCAGAACTCAAACGCAACTCTCAGGAGTGCGTTCTATCATTTAAACGCAGACATCAAACCTGCGTTGATCTGGCTGAACGCAACTCTCAAGAGTGCGTCCCAGAACCAAAACGCAACTCTCAGGAGTGCGTTTCACAAACTGAACGCAACTCTCAGGAGTGCGTTTCTGAATCCGAACGCAGATCGCAGGACTGCGTTTCACTAGCAAAACGCAGACTTTGGTCTTGCGTTAATCAAGCTAAACACGACCCTCGTGTTCCTTCTTTGGAACACGATGTGATTCGTCGTGTTCAAAATGATCAACATGGATTTAAAATTCATGTTTACCAAGAACCGGTCCCATCCTTTAACGGACAGGGGGTTCCATCTCTACCCTCACGCTCTGTGAGAGGTGCCAAGGAGACTAAAGCTCCAAAGGTTGCTCCCATGCCAAAGGAAACCCTCTCCTTTAGCCGCCGAGATTACTCGAACAGCCCCACCTCTAAAGGAGTGGGCTCAGTTTATGACAAACACAGCCTTTAGTGGTGCGTTGTGCAATCAAAACGCAGCCTTCAAAACTGCGTTGATTTGGCAGAACGCAACTCTCAGGAGTGCGTTTCAGAACCAAAACGCAACTCTCAGGAGTGCGTTCAAGATCCAAAACGCAGACTTACAAACTGCGTTAACCAACAAAAACGCAACCGGCAAAGGTGCGTTTCATCAACAAAACGCAGACTTCGGTCTAGCGTTAGTAAAACAGAACACAACCCTCGTGTTTCTTCTTCAGAACACGATGCGTCGTGTTCAAAAAGATCAACGTGGACTCAAGATCCATGTTCACCAGGAGCCAGTCTCATCCTTTAATGGACAGGGGGTTCCATCTCTACCCTCACGCTCTGTGAGAGGTTCATCCCAAGTCTCTGACTTGCGGGAATTGCTGTCGATGTTCAACCGACCGACGAATGTCGTTTTGCTCAATAATCGACGACATCATCACAGGAAGAAGACTTTAGAGGTTGAATACCTTGGAGTCACTTCTAACATGGTTGGTAGAGGGAGATCATCAACCCTTAGTTCTGACGAGTCAGATCATTCTCCAAGCGTCAGAGAAATCGCTAACGAGTTTGAAGGAGTCTACCAACGCACTTGGACGCGAACAGGAGCCATTCCCCCTGTTAACTATCGGAGTTTGGCCAGAGAAACTAATTCCGATGACGAACACTCAGCCATTGCAGAGTCTCAGTCATCAAGCTCTTTCGTTGGGCATGAGAGCTTCGCCCACATGGCAGAACATTCTGAAGACCTTTCAAAGAGACTTGATGAACAGGAGGCCATGCTCAAATCTCAGCAGGAGGCTATCAATGAACTCATGGCCATGTTGACTCAAATCGTCGCAGACAAGGCCAAATCTCAGGAGACAGATTCGCCGCTTAGGCAAGAATCTTCCCGGAGAGGAAAAGCGTCTTCATCCCGACCTCACACAAGCAAAGGGAAGGGAAAAGTGGTTGATGATGCGGCTTCTGACCAAGAAGCCCACAGCCTGGAATCTTCCTCTGATGAAGGAAGAGAGACTGAGAACGAGCAGAATCTTCAGTCTGCCAAAATGGAAGAATTGGAAGCCCGCCTTAAATCCATTGCTAGCAGAAGCGAGCTCCAAGATGAGGGAGTTATCAGAGCCTATCCTGCCGAATGGGATGCAGCCCCTTATCCTCTCTCCTTTAGCCGCCGAGATTACTCGAACAGCCCCACCTCTAAAGGAGTGGGCTCAGTTTATGACAAACACAGCCTTTAGTGGTGCGTTGTGCAATCAAAACGCAGCCTTCAAAACTGCGTTGATTTGGCAGAACGCAACTCTCAGGAGTGCGTTTCAGAACCAAAACGCAACTCTCAGGAGTGCGTTCAAGATCCAAAACGCAGACTTACAAACTGCGTTAACCAACAAAAACGCAACCGACAAAGGTGCGTTTCATCAACAAAACGCAGACTTCGGTCTAGCGTTAGTAAAACAGAACACGACCCTCGTGTTTCTTCTTCAGAACACGATGCGATTCGTCGTGTTCAAAAAGATCAACGTGGACTCAAGATCCATGTTCACCAGGAGCCAGTCTCATCCTTTAATGGACAGGGGGTTCCATCTCTACCCTCACGCTCTGTGAGAGGTTCATCCCAAGTCTCTGACTTGCGGGAATTGCTGTCAATGTTCAACCGACCGACGAATGTCGTTTTGCTCAATAATCGACGACATCATCACAGGAAGAAGACTTTAGAGGTTGAATACCTTGGAGTCACTTCTAACATGGTTGGTAGAGGGAGATCATCAACCCTTAGT